CTCTGCTCAATTGAGGCCAGTGGGGTCTAAATATTTTCACCCTCTAAATGATCCCTTGGGGTAACAAAGAGTGGTCACTTAGATGTCCTCAAAAAGCAGAACCCAAGTGTTTTGAATTTTGAAATCAGAAACTAGTTTTAGAATTTAAACAGGACAACATCGTTTCTCACTCCAACAAGGAAGACATGGAGTAAGTGATGCTTGCTGTGTCCACCATATATGTGAACTTCAAGAGCTCTCCACTCTTTCTTATGGCTTATTATGCTTGAAATGTCCGTGCACTAGACCAGTGATTCTTAACCTTTGTAGGTGTTTTTGAACTGCAACTCCCAGAAACCTCAGCCAGCAGAGCTGATGGTGACGGCTTCTGGGAATTGCAGTCCAAAAACATCTGAGCAACAAAGGTTAAGAATCAGTGTACTAGACAACCCTTTATACGAGGGACACTTTCAAAAGGAGGAGGAGGAGGGCTGTCCCTCTTCAGCAACGAAAACATGGGGCTGCCCTACTATGCAGGAACCTCTTCTCCTGCCTCTTTGTCCTTAAGATTGCCTTTCTTGACTTCCTTTCCTTTGCCTGGTTCCCAAGGAGAGAGCAATGCATGCCTTGCTCATTCCCTTTGGCCCCAAATCAACTCTTGAACCATTCATCAACATCAACTACTAAAGGAGGCTTTTAAAATGTATGTCTGTGTTTTAATTATTTTTAATCCAATTGTGTTTTAACAGTTTATTTAACTGTACTAATGTCATCATTCTTGATATTTTTTTGAGCTCATCTTGTTGTGAGCCACTTTTGAGTGTCAGTCTGGAAAGAAAAGCAGGATATAAAGCAAATAAATAAACATCCAGCTAGTAAATGCCTTGCAGAGAAGGAAAAAAATGAAAGAAAAAAGAGAGCACTAGAATGAGGACCTATCCAAGACATTTTGCTGAGATTCTAGGGTTCCTGTGGATAAACCATTCCCACTTTTTGGGTAGAAGCAACCCCCTCTCTAAAAAAAGCAAACCAAAACAAAACTTCATAAAGGTGCATAGCACCACAAGTTGGCTGTTTATTTTGGCCCAGGAAGCAAAAATCACTCAGGAATCTTTCCTCATTGGTAGTAAAAATACAGCAATCAAAATTAAATCAATGGTTGCCCTTTCATTGCACCCAAGTTACCTGATGCCACAAACTCACCTTCCCCAAGGATAGGGCCTGCCCTGACACAAAACAGGACCTGAGATAGCAAACATTGTTGATTACAATTCCCTGTTGCCCGCTACAATGCTGGCTGGGGTATTCTGGGAGTTGTAGGCCAAAAAAGAAACTTTTCTGATCTCTGAGTATGATACTGAGTACGTATATGCCAGAAGCTGATCAGGTGCCTTGGTCCAGCCAAAGCCCTTGTTCAGTTTAGTGTCACTGAACGATACTCTCCTAGAAGCATTCCAGTTTTTGAAAAGAGGGTTTCCTCTTCCCCTTTGGGTTTTTTCCCCTAAAATAGAATAACTCCATGGTAGGGATGTTGCCTTATGTGTGTGGAGTTTCAGACAATTTGTCCAACTAGCTCAGTATAGTGGTACCTCGACTTAAGAACGTCCCTAGTTGCAAACGATTCAAGTTACGAATGGCTCTGTTTGCAAACGTAGCTTCGACCTGCGAACAGAGCCTCGACTGAAAAAAAGGGGGGATTATGTGTGTGGAGTTTCAGACAATTTGTCCAACTAGCTCAGTATAGTGGTACCTCGACTTAAGAACGTTCCTAGTTGCAAACGATTCGAGTTACGAATGGCTCTGTTTGCAAACGTAGCTTCGACCTGCGAACGGAGCCTCGACTGAAAAAAAGGGGGGAAAAACACCTTTCCTGTCCTTTTTTTGACCTAAGTTCACCTTAGGTCAAAAGAAGAAAAAAATTAAAAAAATTCACCCCCTAGTGGTAGAGTACGGATTAACCAGCTTTGCATTAGTTCCTATGGGAACTAAGGCCCCTACCTATGAACAGTGCCTCAACCTACGAATGGAAAAAATAGCAATTACGGATTAAATGGTTTTTAATGCATTCCAATGGGAAAGTTTGACTCGACTTGCAACCTTACGGATTAAGTTTGTAAGTCAAGGTACCACTGTATATCCCACTCCCCGGGGAATCAGGCCTTTCACACCAGCTGACCTATTTTTCATGTGAGATTTCCTCTGATCCAGCCTAGTTCCTCTTTAATTGTGTAGCTTCTCTATTTTGCTTGGAAACACATACACACACACACACACTTAAAACAAAGCAGAGGAAAATAACAGTGCCTCAACCGGGGAACCTTTACCCTTTACCTTACGGATTAAATGGTTTTTAATGCATTCCAATGGGAAAGTTTGACTCGACTTGCGACCTTTTTGACGTATGAACTTAATTCCAATACGGATTAAGTTTGTAAGTCAAGGTACCACTATATATCCCACTCCCCGGGGAATCAGGCCTTTCACACCAGCTGACCTATTTTTCATGTGAGATTTCCTCTGATCCAGCCTAGTTCCTCTTTAACTGTGTAGCTTCTCTATATTGCTTGGAAACACATACACACACACACTTAAAACAAAGCAGAGGAAAATACATTGTGGCACCTTAAAGACCAACTGCTATATTTTAATGTAAGCTTTCATGGAACATGCCCACTTCATCAGACATATGAGTTAGAATGCAAAGACTAAAACATTCATGCAAGGCCCAAAAATAAAGGGGAAAGTGGTGTCTCACTAGGTTCTTTCCTTGGAAAACTGTTCTGACCAGATTCTTAGTTCATTCTTCCTGTCCAAAACTGCATTATCTTCATGGAAGGTTTTAGGTGTACATGTCAACTTTTAATATTTTCTAGTCTTTGGTTGGGCTATGGGAGAGGAACGAGGCACTGGGAAATCAGTTTTGAACCATCTGTGTTCTGAATATGCCCACTCATACAAGGTGGGGGCTTCTTCTACTTCCCATAAATCAGCAAGATTAATTTACGGGGGCAAAACAGTTCAGTTGGCAGGTGCGAGTCTGGGTTCTCAATAAAAAGAAGAAAATTAAAATAATGGGAGAGATTGTTAGAAGAGTGGGAGTAGAGTACCATCTAGAGGTCATTGCCTGTATTGCAGCCTTCTTGCTCTTATGGAAAAAATGCCGTTGACATTCCCACGTCGCACATGCAAAGTACAAATCCCACCACCTCCTATACAACCTTTGTGATTCTGAGTAATTCTTGTTAATGAATATAAAGGATCGTTCTCAGAATTAAAAACAAACAACTTGTGGCATAACAAAAAAAGCCAGAGAAGTAGAAGAGGGTCTCACTGCCCACAGCACCCAGGCTGTATAATGCCATCCCCTCAGAGGCCTGAGGGGCTACTGACGTTAGCCTCATTTCAGAGATTACTTTCCCAGATTTTTGAAACTCAACAATCCACACTTGTGGGTTTTTTTTGGGGTGTGTGTGAGCGGATGTGGGACCTATATATATAGGTAATTATTTTAATTCTGAAGGAAATTAACCTTTCTGAAGGAAATTAACCTTTCTGAAGGATATCAACCCTGAGTGCTCACTGGAAGGACAGATTCTGAAGTGGAGGCGCCAATACTTTGGCCATCTCATGAGAAGAGAAGACTCCCTGGAAAAGAACCTGATGTTGGGAAAGTGTGAGGGCAAGAGGAAAAGCAGACAACAGAGGACGAGATAGAGGGACAGTGTCATCGAAGCTACCAACATGAGGCAGTGGAAGACAGGAGGGCCTGAAGAGTCGGACATGACTTAATGACTAAACAACAACAACAAAATTTATTTTAAGCAGTTTGTTTTAAATTTGTTTTTCTTGACCTCAAATTATCAGTACAAGGTAGGATGGAATTACCTCGGTTTGCAAAATGTATCAGTTCTACACGATGTTATGTAGTACAGAAGTTTTACAAACTGAAACGCCAATTGCGCTACGAAAGGGATGGTGCTATAGATACAATGCGCCCTGGGAAAACCCCTTCGTAGTGCAAAAAAGGGAAGAAAACAACGTAAAGCAGGGCTTTATTTCTTATGGATTTGGGTTCATAAACTGAAAATTACGTGAACTGAGGCGTTTGCAAACCGAAGTACTACTGTATTTGAATAAATAAAATAAAAGACAGATTAAGATTGAATTGTCATCAACACTTACCATATCTCCTTGGGACTTTGTAAAACGTAACTGCCAATTACGTTTTTTCCTGATCTTTGTATGCCCTCTAGAGGCTGGAAAAACATTATCACTGGCTTCAGGAGGACAACGTTTATCCTTTTTGTTTTCCCAAACCGACCTCTTTGTTCCCAGTGCAATCTCCCTCCTCACACCAGCTCCAAGAAAAAACATTATCACTGGCTTCAGGAGGACAACATTTATCCTTTTTGTTTTCCCAAACCCGACCTCTTCGTTCCCAGTGCAATCTCTCTCCTCACACCAGCTCCAAGAAGTGCTCCTGATAAATCTCAGGTAATGGAGTGGAAGCGATTCTCTGGATTACAACTCCCAGTGATAGAACATAATTATTATTAATACCAGACTAATGAAAGCAGTAGTTCTCCTATTGCCAACTTTGTTGTCTCTGTGTTAGAAGTAATGCAATATGTAGTGGATCTTTCAAAGCAGGACAAATTTTGACACCACCACCTGGAGGAGGAAATGAGGAGGTGACTCCCACCTCCATTTCATGCTGTTTTCAATCATCTTATGTTGTTCTGTTTCTCTCTTATGGTATCTGTAGAGGCTTGTCCTTACTCAAGTATCATAAAACTTATGTTGTAGAAAAACCTGAATGGACTTTTCAGCAAAGGAGCTGAGTTCTTGATTTTCAAAAATAGCTTCTGAAGCAGACATACAGATTTCTTTTCCTAAACCATATAATCTGGTAAACGTCTACTCAAAGGCATATCTACTGATTTCCCTAAAGTTACTCAAACTTTAAGATTGCAACATAAGATACTTTTTGATAGGAAGTGAGGCTTCTTCAAAAGAGGCAGATGTCAATTTTCAGATTCAGTGGTTTTTTGCTTTGATTTCCTCCGTCCCTCTCCAAGTGGCTTCTTCCCGACTCTCTTTTTCCCATTTTGTTTCCAAATGGAAGACTATCATCCGGTGGTGATCCAAGCCAGACAAGCCATGCAGCACATCACAATGGCTTTCCTAAATGTGAAAACGAGAATTGGCAAGTGGGATGCATATGGAGCACAGGACCATCAAATCCACAGGAATGGGAAGCTTATGTTTTAGAACTAGACCAGGATTCACTAAAATACTAAGAGCAGGGAACGTGTACAGTACTGACTATTAACAATTACGCTGAAACAGCAAAGTAAAAGATCTGGATGTTTTCATCCCATTTACAAGGCCATATATGTTCCATTCACTGACCTTCTGGATCTCCTCATGTGCTGTCTTTTTTTGGTTGGTTAAACAATATCAATATTAAATGCAGAGATTACACTGAAAACTAGACCTTCTGGAAGAATCTGAAACCCTTCCAAGACAGTGGTTGGCTAATGCACTCCTAAGAAAGAGGAAGCCTTAAACAAATAGTTATTAAAGGCATGGAAACAAGCCTCCTCACTGCTTCTCTTCCCCCATTCTCCTCCACTTTCTCTCTCAGACTCTCCCTTAGAATCTGCCACGGCTGGAGGCTGCTATCTCCTAGCTAACAAGTGAGCATGCCAAAAAGAATACATGCCCTACCACTATGCCAGAAAGGTGAATGGCAGCTCTTAAATGGGAAAAATGGATTGTAATCTGTACCATGCCTTCAGCAATCCATCTGCCATATCTATATGTCAATGTCGGCAGGCCCTAATTTAGACCAGGCCAGGAGTGACCATCATTATAAGCCAGAATTAGTGTACATCTAAGTCACATTTAAAGCTTCAGCAGGGATGAACAAGCTTTGGAGGTCAATTTTGCACAACACCTGGCCCTCTAGATGCTGATAAGCTTCCAGCCCCATAATTCCTCACCACTGGATAAACTGGCAAAGCTGATGAGATTTATGGGTAACGGCACATGGAGGAGCACATACTCTGCTCTTTCAGAATTGCATTGATGAGAGTGTTCTATTTGGTAAGCCTCCATATCACTGTATGTAGTGTGGAAAGTGTTACGTGCCACAGCTGTTTGATGTATTTAAGGCACAGGGACCATTTTATAATTTCTAATAGTTTTTTGTTGTTGTTTATTTTGTATTTCATACTTGAATTATTTTATTTCAGCATTTTCTGACATGTTGACTTGACTGCTCCTTTGAAGTGACTCTTTTTGTGTTTTTAGCTGAAGAAAACTCTTGTGAATTGACTTTTTTATAGTGTTAGAAACTGAAAACTAAAACAAAGTAACATAAACTGATTCTCCTGGATGCTGTTAATTTTAATTATTTTTTCTTTTCTTGTTCTTTTTCTGTTTGTATGAATTTTAGACCCATATTTGTGAATTACCATATTGTTGAATTCATTTTGCTATTTGGGGCTTTCGAGGGGTTTCAGGTTTTGACTTGTAAATCACCCAGAGTAGTACTTTCACTAATGGTGTATCAATCAATCAATCAATCAAATAAACAAAGTGCTGTTATGCAATCTAGGGTTACATAGAACAAACACAACATATGGACATTACAGGATACTGGGGTGATCCATCTGGTCCCTCCAAGTACTGTAGCAATATCCTTAAAAAATATGGGAGATGGAACCACTTAGAGGATATCACAGTTGAGAAATCAGCATAAACTGTAGACTACTGCCATGAAGTGTGAGGGCATTAAAACTTTCCATTGAGCACACCCACACATAACAGCAATGAGAGGCAACAGCCAAGATGTAGTGATAGGAAGGCAAAAAATATTTGCAGATCCAAGCAGACAGGAGGAATTGCTAAACTAAGCAAACCGAGGGCAAGGAACAGAGGCTGTGGGAAGAAGAGGAACTGAAAGTACCGTCTGCTCACCAAGGGTGGGTGTCAAGATCAGGTGGCGGGCAAAAATACCCACAGGAAGTGGCTGTTGGCATGGCCTGGGCAAATGGAGTGATATGGAATATTATATCCTGGGTAGTGAAAATTATTTGTGCTTTTTCTGAAAGAGCTGGATTGCTGAAATGAATCTACCTAGTCAAATCTACCCATTTTGCAGACTGCCTGAGCTAGCTGGGTTAATTTAGTCCCCTTCCCCAAATGATGCTCCACCCAACTCCCCAAAAAGCACCTATATAACAATGAAGTGCCAGATTGTTGCTACTCACTTTTCCTAGGGCAGCAAAACTAAAGAAAGTACTCTAGCACCAATCTGGTTTCAACCTATGTAGGGGTAGACATGCATATCTGCATTGCAACAAAAAATAGCATGGAGTCTTTTGACACCCTAAAAGCTATCAAATGAGGTGATGAAGTGCACAAATTTATCATAACAGTCCCCATAGCCAAAGGAGAATTCAAAAATTGCAGACCACTGTCATGAACCACTGTATCAGAAAACCAAGTCTAATAGATTCAACTTCTCCTGGTGCTAGTCTTTTTACATACTTTATGGTTTAGTCATTAAGTCATGTCCAACTCTTCCCAGAGCATGCCAAGCCTTCCTGTCTTCCACTGCCTCCCGGAGTTGGGTCAAATTCATGTTGGTAGCTTCTATGACACTGTCCAACCATCTTGTCCTCTGTCGTCCCCTTCGCCTCTTGTGCTCACACTTTCCCAACATCAAGGTCTTTTCCAAGGAGTCTTCTCTTCTCATGAGATGGCCAAAGTATTGAAGCCTTGGTTTCTGGATCTGTCCTTCCAGCGAGCACAGAAGGTTGATTTCCTTCAGAATTGATAGGTTTGTTCTCTTTGCAGTGCAGGGGGCTCTCAAGAGTCTCCTCCAGCACCACAATTCAAAAGCATCAATTCTTTGGCGGTCTGCCTTCTTTATGGTCCAGCTCTCACTTCCATACATCGCTACTGGAAAAGTCATAGCTTGACTATGCAGACCTTTGTCAGCAAGGTGATGTCTCTGCTTTTTAAGATGCTGTCTAGGTTTGTCATCGCTTTCCTCCCAAGAAGCAGGTGTCTTTTAATTTCATGACTGCTGTCACCATCTGAAGTGATCATGGAACCCAAGAAGGTAAAATCTGTCACTGCCTCCATATCTTCCCCTTCTAT